TACTCTCTCTCATTCTCGCTCTCTCAAATAAATAAATAAATCTTTAAAAAAGAAAAAAGATTTTATTTATTTATTTGACAGAGAGAGAGACAGAGAGAGAGGGAACACAAGCAGGGGGAGTGGGAGAGGGAGAAGCAGGCCCCCCACCAAGCAGGGAGCCCAACTCGGGTCTCGATCTGGAGGACCCTGGCATCGTGACATGAGCCAAAGGCAGATGCCCAACGATTGAGCCACCCAGGCGCCCCTGCATTATGTAGTATGTTATGAACATAGTTAATTTCATTCCCATGTTAGTTATTTGTCATCCCTGCTTCCCAGATGGGGAAACCGAGGCAGTGGGGTAGCACTGGGGGTTTGGAACCCCCCCTCCCCTGCCAAGTGTTGGATTCTACTTACCCAAGAGCTTCTCCCCACCTGAGCTGTAAGAGTAACATATTCATCTGTTCCGGCCCGCTCAGTGCCAGGGTAAGTTCCAGTCCTCCTAGCCAAGCCTCCTGCACTCTCACCCGGGGGGTGGGAGGTGGGAGGATGGGGATGCAGAATCATAGCCCACTCAAGACCTATGCCTCAGAATGTACATTTAAACAAGCTCTCCATGGGACTCCAGTGTGCATTATGATTTGAGAAGCACCTCACTGAAGTGTCATTAGATCTGCTGGTCCTGGGTTTGAATCTTCTCTCTGCAAGCTGTGGGGATATGGACAAGTGTGTTTGGAACTTTACAACCTCCCCTGTCAATTGGTGAGAAACATCAGTACTTATCCTTAGGGTCGTACAGCCTAGGGGTTGCTTTCCTTATCTATTGTTTAGGAAACAAATTGCCACGAACTCGGTGGCTTAAAATAATGCAAATTTATTTTTACCATTTTGGAGGTCAGAAGTCCAAAATGAGTCTCACTGAGCTAAAATCCACGTGTTGGCCAAATTGTGCTCCTTCTGGAGGCTCTAGGGGAGAAACCGTTTCCTTGCCTTTTCCAGCTTCTAGAAGCTGCCTCCATTCCTTGGCTCCAGGGCTCCTTCCTCCATCTGAAGACATTTTCCCAAAGAAAACATAGATGGCCAACATGTACCTGAAAAAGTGATCAACTAATTATTAGGAAAATGCAAATCGAAACCACAAAAATATCATCTGATACCTGTTAAAATGGCTATTATTAAAAAGACAAGAAACAAGTGTTGTGAGGATGTATGTGGAGAAATAGGAACGCTCATGTACTGTTGGTGGGAATGTAAATTGGTATAGCCACTGTGGAAAACAGTGTAAAGGTCCCTCAAAAGATTAAAAATAGAAGTACCAGGGGCACCTGGGTGGCTCAGTTGGTTCAGTGTCTGACTCTTGGTTTCGGCTCAGGGCATGATCTCAGGATTGTGGGATGGAGCCCTGAGTTGGCTCCAAGTTTGGCACAGAGTCTGCTCATCCCTCTCTCATCCTCTGTCAAATAAATAAATAAAATCTTCTAAAAATTAAAAAAAAAAATAGAAGTATTGTAACCCAACAATTACACTTCTGAGTATCTGAAGAAAACAAAAACACTAATTGGAAAAGGTATGTGCAACCCCCATGTTCATTGCAGCACGATTCACAATGGCCATCTATGGAAACAACCCAAGTTCCCACCGAAGGATGAATGGATAAAGAAGAGGTGGTATGGATATACAATGAAATATTACTCTGCCAAAAAAAGAATGAAATCTTGCCACTTGTGACAACATGGACCGACCTCAAGAGCATTAAGTGAAACAAGTCAGGCAGAGAAAAGCAAACAGTGTAGGATCTCTCTTATATGTGGAATCTAAACAAAGTTAAGAAGAAACACGAAGAACCCCCCCAAGCTTATAGATAAGGAGAGCCCATGATGGGTTGCCTGAGGCAGGGGGCTGGGAAAAATGGATGAAAGAGGTCAAAAGAGAAAACAAAACAAAACCCAGATGAACCGAAGCTACCACCGTGCCTTTTCTCACACCTAAAAAAGTAACTGTAGTTCCTTTATATTATATGATGCCCAGACACATCAGCATTTCCCCCGTGGTCTCAAAAATGGCCCCCCCTTTCCTGCACCTGCCCCCCTTAAGTGATGCTGCAATCTGTCCCCACCCGCCCTCCCTTGGTCCCAACGTCCACCATTTCTCTCTAGCACTTAACACCATCTGCTCTGCCACAGACTTTACTTATCGCGTTGTCTGTCTTCCCAACCCCATCCAAAACACCATGAGGTCTGCGAGGTCAGGGAATTTGTGTCTTCTTCCCCGCTGGTACAGAGCCGACTCTCAGATATGAACAGAGCAAGCCATTATAACGTCTGACATTTATTGAAAGCTTTGTGACGGCATCGTGACCTTTACAATGGGGTCCTACGAGGTGGGTGCCAGTCTTCTCCCCACTTCACAGGAAACCAAAGCTCTGCAAGGTTAGTTTGGGCTGCACCGGATTCTTCCCTAAATCCTGTGAAGGCCCTCAGGATGACGTTAGGGCTCCTTGGCCCAAGCCCCGTGGGGATGCGCCACCGTGGGTCCCCAGGTCCTCGCTCGTGCGCCCTCTCCCACGTCCCCCAGCACATGTGTCCGAGAGAACCACTGGCGCCGGGCACGGGGACGGTCGCTACGGCCCTGAACGCCCCCACACTGAACTGCGCGGGGAAGCCAGGCAAGGCTCTCGCGCAGGGACAAGGTCAGGACCAAGTTCGGTGGGCCGGTCCCGCCCTATCCGTTCGTTCATCGCTTCGGGGAACGCGGCGCAGCCTGCAACGGGAAGCGCGCTCGTCGCCCCTGGCAACGGAGTCCGGAAAAAGCACCGAGACGCGGCCCGAGGGTGCAGAGCAGCCGCCGCGGGCCAGCGAGGCGCGGAGAGCTAGAGAGGCACCCCCGGCCGATTGTCACGTGGGAGGCATCCTGAAGGCGGGACTTCCGGGGAACGAGGTATTTTCTTTCCGGTTGTTGGCTGCTGCAGGCCCCACCCCGACTGGGCCCTGCGCCCCCCCGCCCCCCGCGGCCCCCAGCCGCCGGGCCCGCCGCCACCATGAAGAAATTCTTCCAGGAGATCAAAGCTGACATCAAGTTCAAGAGCGCGGGACCTGGTCAGAAGCTCACGGAGTCCGTGGGGTGTGTGACCGGCGCTGAGGCTTGAGATCCGAGAGCAAGGACGGGACAGGGAGACCAGAGAGGGCTAGGGGCGGGGAGGGGCGTCCGAGCGTCTGGG